ATGTCTGTTAGTGTAAAGCGCTTTGGGGTCAGGAGGGACTTGAAAAGCACTCTATAAGTTCAGTACCATTTACCATTTTATACGAAGTGCATCTGTCCTTCAAATTTGTTCTGATTTTCAGTTTAACAAACATTTGTAGTCCCTTCAAATTATAACAGCTTTCCCTCTTAACAAAATTAGATTGATGTTTGACGGCAACACATTTCTATGAGCCTTAAACATAACCTGCAGAATGTTATAATCAACCAACTCATGACATTTTAACAATTTTAATTGATGAAACAATATATTAGATGGGTGATAGTTATGCTTTCTTGTGGTAATTCTTAAGGCTCTTTTTTGTAAAGTAAAAATAGGATTAGTAATGGTTTTATATGCATTTCCCCAAACTTCTATACAATAAATCAAATGTGGATAACTCCTTSACTTTATACAGTACTGCAATAGATTTTGCAATTTTTGTTCTTATTTATATGAGGTCTCCATGTCAGTTTTTCGTCAATGATGACTCCCAAAAACTTCACCTCAGTGACTCTACAGATCTCAACACCTTCTACTCTAAATGGAACATCAATTGTTTTCTTTCTATTACTAAATATCATGTAATTTGTTTTATCCAAATTTAATGATAATTTATTTTGTTTAAACCAATTTTGTACTGCATCTGTTCTATGTTTTTACCAAAGCAAAAACATGTGGTGTCTTCTGCAAATAAAACACATTTAAACAACCCTGATACATCTACCAAGTCATTAATATATACGTAGGAGAAACAAGTTTGGTCCCAAACCCTGTGGAACCCCACAAACAATATTACAAAGTTCAGATCTTACACTATTAATTTGTACAAACTGTTTCCTATTGGTTAAATAAATTGATACGCACTTTTTAAAGTTGTCATGTAGTCTTAGCAAGGGTTTAAGCAGATGTTAGTGATATGTGTATAGAAAAGTGTGGTTGTGATGGTGGATGATGAACACTTGAATGAAAATCTGCTTCTGTGATTCCAGACTCTGCAAGAAAGACCTCCACCGCCTGTGCTTCCACAGAGCATGAAGTCTGTAAGCATGCAATCCGATGGTTCAACCTGGCAGTAGACAGGAGCTCAAGGAGACGTAGTCCACAGGAAGGTCAACCTGCTGACCACAACACATCCACATAACATCACAGAGCATTCTGGTTTTTTTTATTATTGTTTGTGTGAATGTTGAATTTTGTTTTCTTTTGACTTTACTAGTAACTGTTCTTTTCACTGAATACATTTGATTTTCATCACACTGTTTCATGTTTTTTGTATATTGCCTACTTATTGACCATGGTGTTTGTCTATGCGCTGTCTGTACCAGCTCTTTTAACTGAATTTAATTCCACCTTAATACAGAATGTCAGTATCTCTGGGGCCAGGATCTTTTTGCTGCAAGGCAACAGTGTTATCAGCTTCACAGTGCAGCTTCAGAACTGTTGGGTTTGCTGCTAAAAACAACCCAATATTAGTTCGTCCTGATGCATCTCAGTAATCCAGGTAAAAAATCAAAAAGAAAAAAATTGTATAGGTCTTCTGGACGGGTTCTTCTCTAATGAAACGTTTCGTCTCTCCTCCAAGAGACTTCTTCAGTCTGAGAGTTTATGTGATGTGAGTATCAGTCACATGGAGGCAGTGCTTAAA